GATGACCGGCGAAGAGACGGTGAGGACGATGCTGGTCGCCGGCGGGCTTGCCGGCGTCGCCAGCTGGGTCTGCTGCTACCCACTGGACGTCGTGAAAACCAGACTTCAGGCTCAGTCCAAATTCTCGTTTCAAAAGTACTCTGGAATTGCGGATTGCCTTTACAAGAGCGTCAAGGAAGAAGGGTACAGCGTATTGTATCGTGGATTGGGGACCGCCATTGCCAGAGCTTTTGTGGTGAATGGAGCTATTTTCTCTGCGTATGAGCTCAGCTTGAGGTGTCTGTCCAGTAATGGAGGACTTCACGCCGAGAATACGATCTAAGAGGAGATTGAAAAATGGGAGAAAAGAGAAGATTGGGGTTTAATTTGTCTCTTTTCAAGCATTTATCTCTGGGACCGACCTCTGTTTTCCAGTTCCATCTGCTAATTTGAGTGGGTGAAGAACTTGTGGAAAGAATTGTTCGAATTCTCTGAATTCTGTAACTTCTTGATTGGAGTTACAGGGAAAAAATGATGATGATGACGAAAAATTTGTGCATTTTCAGATCATTGCTGCTGTATAATTATTGATTGTATAGGAGATTTAGATGCAGTGGCAAATAGGAGGATTGAGGGAGGTGCATCCTTTCGCTGTCTGAAAACTTGTTCTAGAAAATTATGTCTCTGTTTTTTGGTTTGTTTTTGCTTTTCAATAAGTTTGAATTAAACTTTGACTCTATAATTGAAATGTTTGGATTTGTGTAAATAAACTAGTTGCAAATATTTAGATTTGTGTAGATTATGTGTGATTTATTAATTAGTGATTTACTATGAATCACAAATGTTTAGATTTAGCTAGATTGTGTTTGGTCGGTTTTGTGCTTTATTATAACGTGAGATGTAATTTTATGACACTTTTTTTTGGTTAAAGTATAAGTTTTAGTTGTCTGACCTTAAATTTGTGTATAATAATTAATAGAGGAATTGATAGATCCTAACATAGCTCAACTTATACTTATCTTTAATCAAAATATACTTATCTTTAATCAAAATGTTACAAATTTGAATCTCAACCCACACGTGATTCTACTTAAAAAAAAATTCCAGGTATATTAGATTTTTTTTTTCACAATTAAGATGGTTAGCAAAAACAAAAACGTTTAAAACACAATTTTAAAAGCTCAATAATATAATATATTAGAAAACTTAAAAAATTAGAATCAAATTTGTAATTTTAACTTGTTTTTTTTGGATTACTAATCAAACATAAAAGGTGAAGATTTAAGCGTCAAGAGTTTTAAAGAGTGTCATAAATGTTTGATTAGGGTGTTTAGGTCGGTTAAGTGTTTAATTGCATGGAATTAATAAATTTGCAAGTGCAGATAAAGAATTGTATATTAAAATGTAGGTTTGCTTTCACAACTGTGTTTATAATTTGTTTATTTTGATAGGATAGAAATTGGGTCTTGATAGACTTGAACCATGGCGTAGGATTTGGAAGTTCTTTCCAGAATTTATCTAAGTAAATAGATTTTAAAATGTTAGTTCAAACCACAGTGATGTGAACGGTTAGAATTTACGAATTTCTTTTAATATTAGTCCAGATGTCTACCATCAAATTCCAAATTTCCAACACAAGTGTAAAAAGAAGAAAAAAAAAAAAGGAAAAATTGGGATAGAGTTGGAAAATTAACTCAAATGACCTTCAATTACCTCAGGCTCAACCTCGCCCGAGACCGAACCCGAGAAAAATGACAGAGGCTTAGAAACCTCGACGTTGCGTCAACTTTTTCTATCACCAACCATTGACCTTGGGTGAAACCTTGCCCGAGGTTCAACGTTTCTTATGAAACTCGATCGGAAAACCATAACTCCCGCCAAGGTTCATAGTCAACCTTAACAGAATCATGCCAAAATACGAAACTAAATTTAAAATTGACAACATGTTTCAAAATCAAAGCAAACAAAACAGCAAAGTCCAATCTTAAGAAGAAATCAAAAGTAGCAAAATTAAAGACAATGGTTGTTGTGAATTAAATGACTCCTGGGCGGGAATTAATATGACCTCGGCCAAGGTTTTTTCCCGCCGTCATGTCTTATAATTAAGGACATTTTGATCATTTCATCTTCTCTGACACATCATTAATGCTTAAAGTAGGTCATCTTGACACATTTAGAGAGGGTTGGGTCATTTGAGCATTTAAAAAAAAAAATTAAAGTTATTTGATTCAATTTCCATGGAGTTGTGAAAGATGGTTTGGAGATAACTTGTTTGGTTGGTTTTGTATTTTAAATAATATAATAAAATAATCAGTTTAGTGAAAAACAACAATAAACAGACGTTTTTGTTTTTAAAATTTGACTAATAATCTACCTATACTACAGATTAAAGAAAGTTGAAAATATATACTAAAAAGTTGTAAAAAAAATATAATATTTAAAAATTGAAAATTAAAAATGAAATCCTTAATGAAGTTTAATTGTTAGTATTGGTATGTGTTTCGCATGCCTTCGACTGAAAATTGCTTTCTTAAAAATTGTAAACGTGTTTTTGGCTGACTAAAAGCATTTCTTAATTTTTTTAATAAGTAAAAGTGGTTCAAGAAATTATAAAGTAAATAAAAATGATATAGAGGTACTTTTTAGATAAAACATTTAACTATTTTTCTTTCAAAATTGCATGTATAAACCATAGCAAGAGTGGATTTTGTAGCATAACTCTATTATGAGTTCTTTCTCTATTTATAAGAAGTCTAATAACTTTTTTGAATTCCTTTCATCTTGAACTTTAAATTTGATGGCTTGGTCACTTGATAATCGAATGAGTCATTGAGTTCAGATGTACTCTTATGCTGGGCTATGGATGCTAGTCCAAGGGATAGTTGATCTAAGGTGGGTCGTGGCACTGAGCCRATCAAATGGACCATGACCCTGGACTGACCACAGGTTGCCCATGGATCAACCTTCCTTTTAGTTTAGCCTAATTTACATTTACGGTCTTGACTCGTAAGACTTAATTTCATCATTAATAGAGAGAATTACATCATTCATTTCTGTAGCGAAATTGTCTCTTAGACAACAATAGTAACCTTAAACAAGTAAGTCACATAATTGATAATTGTTATAGATTTTGATTGAAATAATCAATCCTCAATTATTGATGTGCATCATATCTTTTTTTATCCAATTTTAAATTATTTTTTTATATAATTTTTATAAATTATTAATTGTATCATTAGGCTATTATTATTGCTATATTTGTAGCCTCTCTTTTTAACTAGATTTGTAAAAGAAAATAATAAAATTAGAAAAAAAGAAAAGAAAAGGCCAAAATGAATCACGTTTTGGAGTTTTTGTTCTTTCGTTTATCTGTTTGTAAGTCATGCCGTCCATTACAAAAGAGGCTCAACCTGTTGGAGGAGATCCACCAACTCCAACTACGACCCGTCAATTATTCGCGGTTCGATCTTCACTATCGGTCACACCATTTGAATAGATTCTCACCGTTGGATGTTACTGCCCCCTCCCCCGGGCAGCCCAAAAGAAACAAAACAGTGGGACCCACTCCATGGACACGTGGCCCGTAAGTTGGGGTTTTCAGGTACAAATCGTCCCTACAATTTCCACGATCCGCCAGACGGCCACACCGCATGGACCGGTGGTGGGCACGTGATTCAGACCCCGTACCACGTGTCCACAAATATGAGGAATGGTCTTTTTCGGTGCCTTTTTAGTTTTCTCGTAATATTTCAAAAAACATGGTTGCTTTTCCCCATGTGGTTGGTTAATTGATAAAGTGCAGTCATATTCTAATTTCTAGTGAAATTTTTACTTTAAAAAATATTTGAAATAATTTTCCAAGAATAGTTTATTATTAAATAGCAATAAATTAAACCATTTAGTTTAGGTAGTTATTTATGTGGGAGATGTTCAAATTATGAATTTTACGAAGTGAGCATAACTCAGTAATTGATATATATATTCAACTAGGAGGTTGTGAATTCRATTCCCCATTAGTAATAATTGACATATATCTCCAATTAAGAGGTTGTGAGTTCGATCTCCATCTCACAGTATTAAAAAAAAAAGAAAAAAGATATGATATGAATACTATAATGGTCAAAATATCATATTTTTCAAAATACTTTTAAACCTGAACTAACATGTTGGGCTTTCTCATCGTGTAAAGGAGGGCCCAATTCAAAGCCCAAAAGGCCTCAGTTCTAAGAGAACAAACATGTAGGACCCTTTTCTCGTGTGCAGGAAGGCTCAATTCAAGGCCCAAAGACATCAGTTCTATTAAGAGAACAAACCGACCCGACCCAGTAAAAAAGTTCGGGTTAGGTCGAAGCTATACGGGTCGGTTTCTCTTGCACCGAATTTACTCCGCAATCCCTTCAAACCCTAAACCCTCGCATATAAAGGTTGCCGCTTACATCTCAGTCCTCTTTGGACGGAAGAAGAATCCGAGCGCTTCATCGTCGAATTCGATTAAATGGTAGTGGTGGACTTGCTTTTACTCTCCAAAAGTTTTCTCTTTCTGTATGAATGTTGTTGAATCGGGAATTCGAGTTGGCTAATTTTTTGCGTGTTGATCGGTAAAATAGGGTAAGGGAACGGGAAGTTTCGGTAAGAGGAGGAACAAGACCCACACTCTCTGTGTGAGATGTGGCCGCCGGAGCTTTCACCTGCAGAAGAGTCGATGCTCCGCCTGTGCATTCCCTGCCGCCCGTAAGCGTAAATGTAAGTTCGCCAAAGGAGAGGCTGTTTTGTTTAGGTTTTACATTATCGCATGATTCGATTATGTGTTGTTTACTGCGCTTAATTCGTTTCATCGATTAGGAATGATCACCGTAGATCACCCACTATCGGCTTAGATGGCAGTAGATTTGTTTTGTACATAGTAATTCGTTCGAGTGAATTTATTTTACTTTTAGGTTTTCAAATTTGGTTTAGTTGTTCAATTGTTTGATGGGGATTTGGGGTATAGATAACTGGAGCGTGAAGGCGATCCGTAGGAAGACCACTGGAACTGGGCGGATGAGGTACATGCGCCATGTTCCTCGCAGATTTAAGAGTGGTTTCAGAGAAGGTACTAGTGTGGTTTTATATTTCTTCCTTTTCTTCCTTTTCTTCATATCAACGAAATTTTTGGGGAATTTTGTGGTTTTTAATTACATTGGGTTCTTTGATTATTAGGCACTCAAGCAGCACCAAGGGGCAAAGGAGCAGCAACATCAGCTTAAAACGTTGAAGGTTGATTGTGGCACAACTTGGTACCTTATCATAGTTTTTAGGAGGATTATGTCATTTTTGGACGGTTATCTATATGAATTTTGTTTGATGATGTTATTGCCTTCAATACTGAAGCTCACTTTAATTCCTTACTATTTTGTTTATGGAATTTCTTATGATTGGATTGATAGCATTTTCACATTTTTTTTTTAATCTATGTCTTGTTTGGGGTCTATACTTCTAACCATTTTTACAAGGTTTTGGCTGGTGATATTATCATCCTAAAGGCAGGGATAGAATTTATTAATAAGAAAATTGGATATTATTATTATGTTCTAATGTTTGAATTGTTCGTTAATCGTTATTCTGGGGCCTCAGTGTTGTATGATAGGAAATTTGTAGTGTAATGTTTTTCTCCTGACCATGATTAGTGTTGATAAAACTGAAAAACAGTAAAAGTTTGCTCGACTGGTCAATGCTGTTCGACATGTTAAGGGAGAATAGGTGGGATTGACAACAAAATAGCATGTTGCTATTCTTTCTGGAGATGTTAGTGATAGTGTATGACTTTATTTTTGCCATCATTATTATATAAGTAAGAAAACCACTTTCATTAAGGGATATAGAATATAGAAAAGCTAAACTAGAGGCCAACTCAAGATAAAGGATCATAATAGAACATCAAAACTACGAGAAAGGGTCTCAATATTTTGGATCATAGTAAGACAAGATTTCAATAATATTTTAGAAGCAAAGGAACTAAATAGAGATGTTAAAATGCATCAAGTTACAAAAAAATCTCCTCTAAACCCCTTTAAGCCTTTACAGCCGCTTTGGAAGTCTACAAAATCTTGATTTAGAAGTCAGAAGAAATATTGATTCAACTTCTCTCTTACCGCACACCGACGGGGGGATTTAGTAGAAGAAAAGTGCAGTCTTGTGAATTGACTCAAATTCTCTCCTACTTGTTTTGTTCAAGGGTATTTAGTCTGTTGACCCTCCTGCCAACCCAAAAAACGATACCTTCGTAGGGATATAGAAATTTTAAAGCTTTGAGGAGAAAGTTGATGAAATAGAGAAGGATTTACTAGTGTAAATGCCGAATGATTCTAAGGATTGAAGCTGCTCCCCTATGAAGGACAAGTAAAACTCGTCTTGAATGTCGATGTTATGCATTTCATGGGATACCATTTGGTCTATTTCCTAGACCACAACATTCCAAGAAATGATTTTAATCTTTATCTTTTTTTCCTATATGTTTCTTGTGAAGTTAACATGTCATTTTTGGCCATGAACATTGATGGTGGAGGCAGTCACTATGCGGAATCCTCGTTTGAGGATTGTTTGAAATTATTTTTTCTGGAAAAAAATTTCTTTTGTGTACAAATCGAGATTAGTGTGCAATTGAACTAGCCAAATTACAGGTCCATGATTTCCAAGAACAAGTTGTCTTTTTAACTAAATCTTGATTCAAGAATTTGTTTAAAAGTATGGTTGGCAAGGTAATTGAAATATAAAAATGGTGGTGTTGATTGTTGAACCTTAATTTTTATCAGAAACTATACTCATATATATTATATTTTATTTAAAACAATGTGTAGCTGTTCATGAAATTGTGTTAGTCAAAGCTGGGTTAAACTATACATTTTGTCCATTTTTAAGACTCCGTTTAACTTATTATCGAACAAATCTTTTACTGCACAATATCAAATTTTTAAAGGCTAAAGGAAGGCGTAAGCGTCAATTTTAATTAAAAAATTATACAAATTTTAAATTTGTGTGGTTAAGTATTATCTTATATAAATTATCAAAATGTTCACCTGTTACTTATCACTCAAAAAAATTCTAAAAAAAATCTTTTAACATAATTACTATTATCATCAATTCTAAGTCAAGGTAGTTATAAATTATTCTCTTCAATATTTTTAAAGTCTAAGTGGTAAAAATAGTAATAATTAATATTATCATATAAATTTAAACTTCGTGTTTTCAAAGAGGCGTAAACCTCTTCTCGAGACTAAGAGTTAGAGCCTTACTTTGAGATAAAGTATCAAGGTGTAAGCCTCAAAAGCCTATTGCATAATCTCACCATCGGAATTTATAAAATTATTGTAATTACTTTTTAGGTTCAGTAGATTCTTAATATCAATGAACCAAGAAAAAACGACAATTATGTCGGATTAATTGAAAACTGCAGTATCTTTATTTTTATTCAAGCCCTCACTTAGTCACACGTGTCGTCACGTATTCAAGCATCGTGGGGGATTTGCGCCACGTGTTTCTTACTGTACAGTACTGTTCTTCTCTATTTATTAGACGAATCCAATTCCTTGTGTTGGAAGTTGGAACTGGAACTCCCATAGCTTGGTTCTCAGTTCTTAGGGTTCGTAATGGACGCAGCAGAAAAACTGAAACCAAAAGCAGGTCTTTTCGACGAAATCCTCCCTCCCCGTCTCGAAGACGCCGGCCTCGAGGATTGCGCCCTCCCCCCCGACTCCATTCGCGAAGCCTTTGCCAAAGCCGCCTCCGCCGTCAAGTCTAGGGCCACCTCTATTCTTTCCTCCGACGGCCACTGCGTCGAGGATCCACGGCCTGCTGATGCTGGTGAATCCACCGACGTCGTCACCGGAATCTCCCCAGAGCGGGATCCGCCGGGGCCTTGCGCCACGGCGAAGGGAGCGAAATTACCCGAGTTTGGTGGAGACGCGATGGTGATTGGCGGTGGAGAAGGAAGAGGGGATGAAGTAGTAGCAGTAGCTGGGGGAACGGAGAAGAGGCGAGGGCAGGGTTGTGTAGTAGACGTATTGCAGGGACTGGAGATCGGAGAAGACGCGAAGGAGAAGGATAAGAGCGGTGGACCCATCTTAGGGGAAGGTTTTGCTTCAAACAATTCGTAATCTTCTGCCCTTCAATTTCATCTCTGAAAGTCTGTTTTGTTTTGTTTCAGGAGAGTTGTTGGCGTGATTATCAATCGCCAACAACTCTCCATGAACTCGGATGCGTGTTTATTATGTTCAATTAAAGGAAAAATATAAGAATTGCCAAGTATTCGTATTGATGAACATGGTATGATTAAGAAGGATAGTAAGTTAAGTTTATTTCAAAGGCAGGCGTTGGTATTAAAATACATAAAACTTATGTAATAATATTAGAATCTCCGACGACAATTACAGTGTGTATGCCTTGAAACTTGATTAATTTGTAGTTGCTGCTGGTCCTCAGTTGGATGTGTTTGAAATGTAAAAACTTGGTTGTTTCTATCTATAGTTCGTCTTTGTTAGTGGCCTCAGGCTGCTCCTCAGACTTCAACCGTTTGCCAATGTTCTTAGCCAAATCCTTCAAGCTCGACTTGCTCGAAAGTTTTATCTGCACCATAATATTCCAATTATGGAATTATCACAAAAACTAACAATAACAATGGAATCATAAATAATAAATAATTACCGGATTTGATTTATCGGCAGCTGGGTAAAATAGGAGAGTTGGATAATCGTCTACCTGGAATCAGAAATTCCAACATTAATATTGATAACACACAACGAGTTTGGTAAATAAATATTAATTAATGAGTGAGTAAGTGACTTGAAGTTGAGGGTGTTCGTTTGCAGAAGCGTCAATTCTGGCAAAAACTATATTATGGGAATCTTTGAAATGCTTGGCCAACTTCTCCACATTCTTGCTCGTTGTCTCGCAGGAAATACACCATGGCGTGTGCACCTGCTCTCACAACCATTTCAACCAAATTTAATCTAATCATGATTATGACAACGAACAACTTATCACTAATGATTTCTGTTTACCTCCAATAGAACATTGTTGGAATTCTTCAAAACCAGGTCTTCCAATGTCCTTCCCACAACCACCTGAACGCTTGCCCCCTCCTTTTAAATCACAACAACAAATTTTGCTCAAGTTAAGTTTGGGGTACAACTTAATGAGTCATGTAGGTCCATTCAGTACCGTTTTCTTGTTTCTCGATGAGAAATAAGAAGCGGGAACGTTATCAAATAGGTTCGTATATGCTTAAACTTCAAGTTAAGTTGCTTACGAATCCATGACATGTAATGTGAGAACCTGAGATTTGTTTAATATGCAACTATAGTGGATATTTCTACAGCAAAAATAAATTCATGAGGAACCCACGTTATTTGGTATTGGCTGTGATCTGAAGTAAGGAGACAGAGTACCATCATAAAGACCTCTGCTGAACTCCTACAATAAATGGCAATTCATAGAACTATATGAGCTCCCCAATTTCATAGTTTGTCAGGACTTTTAAGAGAAAATAATACATAGAACAAGATTCTTACTTCTATGTTGCTCGGGGTCGGATCTGACTCCAACAAAAACTTTGAGCTCATTCCATTGTCAAAAGCAGCAACCTACCGGATGCATAGCAAATATAAAGTGCATTAGGAGACATAGATTTGGTTAAGGGAAAAGGATAGGCTGAAATCAAATACGAACCACAGTTTTGTCTGCTTCTTCGAGACCGAATAATGACAAGAAGGGCTTTGCGAGATTTTCATTTGCAATGTCTGTGTATATAAACATTATCTGCATTCACAAGAAGATATTGTTGACAATCCTTCCATCTAGACAATGTGATGAGAAACTTTGATTACTAAAGTTTTGGTAAGTTGTATACCTTCGACTTGAGCTTTCTTGCAACATTCTGAAGGGGCTCAAGGAGATTCTTGAATTCATCGTCATTGGTGAAAATGATAACCTGCAAAGTCAATGAAAATTAGACAGTTTGTATTGAGAGATTATTGACAGATGATAAGAAGCCAATAGAGCTAGATTTGAGTGCACTATATACATATGCTTTTCCTTGTACGAGCACCAAGAGAGAAGATGCGCATCCATAATTTTTTTTTCCCTCTATGTGGTATTTTATGGGGCTCTACTCCATTACTCTACTGGGAACTTCCTGGGTGGCTACACAACCTCTAGAAGACATAAGGGACTTTCATTTATTAAGGTTTTCCACCCAGAGGCTTGAATCTATAATCCTGGGGAAGACTCCTCGAACATTCCAAGCCTCTCGGGATTACCCCCTCGAGGCGTGTACGTTGAGAGATTTATGAGCCATGCAATAACAATATTCAAACTACTGATTTTGAGGAAAATTTTGAATACCTCAGGACTCATCATTGAGAGGAAAGCCTAAAGAGTTCTACTCGAAATGGAAAAGAGATATTGGATGAATTTGAGCAGCGGAAGGAGGCAATTTGTTAGGATGAAGACGCCTACACTAAATCAATAAATAAAATAAAAACAATGAGACAACTCTTCCTTTTATATTCTTAAACAAAGTTTTAGATGGTAACTACAAGAAAAAAAAAACAGACAAGAAAGAACACAGTGTACGACCGTTTTGCTTGATCAACTTGTGAAACCCAAAAAAGGAATCGAAAATGTAAGGAAATGTAGAGCTCTACTTGAAGGGATGTAATTCAAAGAGATAATGAATATGATCAACGAGAAACATCGACAACCTGACGTTTAACATGGCTGGAGTAAACTCGGATAGAGTTCATTTCAGTCAGTCTGGTGACCAATGGAAACTTGTTTTGCTCCAAAAAGTGTAAGATCTTTTCCCTTTCAAAGGATCCGTCTGCAAAATACAAAAAAGTAAGCAAAGATGCCTGATGGGAAACTAAACGATATTAACATCCGCTTCGCTACCAAACAAACTCACCATATATCGTATATCTTTCCTGCTCTTCCTTAACAAGTCCAAGGAAATTGTTTGAGGGTTTAATATCAGGGAACAGAGTCTTTGCAACTTCAGCGTTACTCACTTCAACAAACTGGAATTCATTATCATCTGAGGCTGCTTTAAAAAATTCTTCGTATGCAGGCCCCTTGAAAAAAGAAAGCACATTTCTTCAACACATCCTCCATGATCCGTACATATAAATTAAAGAAAGAGAAAATCATTTTAAAAACTATATAGTTCCCCAAGGGTATAATATATGCAGCTAAAAACTTCTAATATCATTAACTTGATGTCAAGAACAGCACTTATTCTTATCTTACAATCAAGTTGTTAGGCCTGGAGAACCCAAATTTTATTTCGAGTCAACTCCAGAAACACACAACATGACATCAAGTGAATTTTTCGGGCACTGTAGGCTCAATTCGTTGCCTAACAACGATCCGATTTGGAGAATGGGAGCGAACCTCTTGCAACATGATACGCTATTTTTGTTCAAAGTTACTTTGTCTACGATGTGTAAAACTGTGTTCTTTGTGTTTTGTTCTCTATTTTTTGTCCAATGTTCCTAAACAAAGCATACACATACAAGATGCACAGGGAAACAACAAACCTCAAATTTCTCAAACCGACCGACAACAAAGATGTGGTGCTTCTTTAGAAATTCTTTAGCTTCGTTCAAAGAGCTTATATTGATAACAGGGGCACCAGTCTTTTTCTGGACCCAGATCACAATCTCTTCCCTGAATAGATGGAAAAACAACGCCCATTCAACGAATTAAGAGAGATTCAATTATAAAGTAGCTAATAGGATTAATTTCCATTTGCAAAAAATTACTTACGCAGTGAATCCGCCAGTGTAAGCTTGAGAAGTCCCATTAACAAACAAAAGCAGTGTAGGGAACCCCTTAATTTGGAGGGTAGAGGCTGCTTTTGGATAGCGATCGGCATCAAGCTTCGCCATTAAAATGGGGTTCCCCAATTCCTTAAGTGAATTTGCTGCCTCGGCGAAGTGGGGCATAAGCTCCGCACTCCTGGCGCACCAGGGGACATAACCCAGAAGCAAAACGTACTCATTTTGTTGGATCACTCTCTCACTGTTATCATTACTAAGCTCAAGAACTATCCTCTGGGCTTTACTCAATACCTCTGCCTCCGAGGTCCTCAAATTAGCCCCATCCTGCTGCTGATTCTCTTCTTCTTCGTCCAATGCCAACAATTCCTCGAAACCCTCGAAATCTTCATCGCCATTTTCAACTGTGTTGGTCTCGGATGAGCTAACAATGGCCAAGAATCCGAACAACAAGAGGAGGGTGAAGGCAAGAGGGATGAATCTGTAAGTGGGTTTTCTTAGAATCATGGTGATGGGTCTTGTGCAAAAGAAAAAATCGGTGTGGAGTTGAAATTGGATCTGGGGAAGAGCTCAGAACATGCGGCGAAATGGGGTTTTTGAGGGTTTTTCTTTTCCTGTAAAAAGGGCGCTAATTGAGGCTGAGTTAATTAGTAGGGATTATGAAGAAGAAGATCTCAAGAGCAAGAAGCCGATTTGGTTGATAGGCTGTAGCTGTACGTGTGGAAATGTGAGTGAGCCATTAAAATTAAAACTGTCGGTCCTGCGCTCAAACAAACTAGAACGTGAGTGGGACAACCGCTGCTTTCCTTTCATTAATATATTTCTCTCTGTTTTTTTCCTCCAAATTAAATTACAGTCTCTCTTCAAATTATTTACTTTCATTTTGGTTAAGTTTTAGTATCGGTGGTGGTGGGTGGAAATTCGAATTCACATCGCAAATATATACCTTACCAACTATATTCATTTTGACCTAAAAACATATATTTCAATAATATATGCATTAAGTTTATGATAAGGTAAGAATTACCATTGAGAACAAATATGAAGATGAAAAATGCATTCTACATTTTTGTCCCTAAAATTAGAGTGGGAAACAAATATTCTATATTCCATATCTATTCTCTTTTAAAATGATAAATTTGTAGACACTGGTTTTGCATTAAAATTTAACAATTTTATTTTTAAAATTTCACATAAGGTGGGAATTCAAGCTAACTTCCTACTAGAAAGTAAGCATGTGATGATTTGAATTATACTTTGTCTTCGAAAAATCAATGGCTTGTTTGATAATTATTTTATTTTTAGTTTTTTATTTATGAAAGTAAAGCTTGTGCTACTTTCATTCATATATATATATATATATTCTTTGTTTTGCTATCCACATTTTGGGAGTATTTTCATAATTTAAGATAAGTTTTAAAAATTAAAAAGTAATTTTTATTTTTGAAATTTGGCTAAAATTTTAAGTGCATTTTTTTAAAATGTAAAAACGTATCAAAAGAAATGGTGAGCAAGCAAGTATAACTTTGAAAAACTAAAACTAAAATAGATCAAATAGGACTTAAATTTGACACTTTTTTTTTAAGTATAACAATGTATGAGAATTCGAATTTAAAAATATAAGTGTTTCACTAGTTAAATTATATTAGATGGGCTTAAATTTGACACCTTGCAGACATTTCTATTGGGTTCATTTAGTATTCTATTAAGAAAAGATCTCACATTAATATCCCCTTTATTTATAATATACCTAACACAACACCTTCATTTCAACAAATGTGGGAGTCAAAAGAAAGGAAAAAAGGAAAGAAAACGTGAGAGACAGAAACAGGAAGGGAAGGGATTAATTAATTTGTAACAGAAAGATGAAGATGCTGACAAGACAGTGAACGTGCCAGCTCGAGGCTGCATCAGACACACCACATTTACATTTGGAGCTCACCAACTTCTGATCCGACATTTGTAAGTTTCTGCGACATCTGTAAGAATTTGGATCATATTTCTGCTTGGGACAAAGTTTCCTTTTCTGGGTCTTCAAGATCAGAGCATTCAGGACAATGCTGGAAGGGAAGGCTTTGATCGATGATACGGACATGCCAGTGAAGCTGCAGATCCAAGCCATGAAAGCTGCTTCTGAAGCTCTGGATCTGTACGATGTCTTGGACTGTAAATCCATCGCTGCCCACATCAAGAAGGTCAAATTTTGATTGGTTTGATCTGAAATTTTGTTACGGAATGTGTTTTTGAATGTAATGTGAGTGAAATATGAGGTGGGGTTTTGTGTTTGTGCAGAAGTTTGATGATGGGCATGGGGTGGGATGGCAATGTGTGGTGGGTTCAAATTTTGGGAGCTTCTTCACTCATTCTAAAGGAACTTTTATCTACTTCACTTTGGAGACTCAACTTTCTGATATTCAGATTCAGACTCAGAGGGGCTAACTAAGGCCTTCCTTTTGTTTATTTATGCTCTACATATGTATTTCAAACTTCATTTGTATAGTTGTTTGTGCCAATGGAAATGGATGGTTGTGGATTTTGAAGGGTAATGTTCTTTCTTAGTTGCTTTTTGGTTTTCTTATCTGGGTTACTATTAAGGTTTTTAGATTTCTGAATGCGAAGGGGAAAAGGCCTATTTCCATTAATAAAAGATGATTTTGTAATATACCACTTTGGAGATTGGTTATTGTGCCATTCCGGTTAGCAACGATCTTCCGTGTACTCAACTACGTACACTTTGAAGTTGAAGTTAGAACTTAGTTTGTTATGTTAAGCCACCCTGTGGCGCCCGTAACTTTTCATTGACGAGTTTTTGCTAAAGATCCTTTAACAGTGGAATCGTCCTTATGTCTGAATGTCAATGGATTTGTTGCTAGTTAAAATCTTCCCTGATCGGTGTTAAGAACTCTTATACTTTCAAAGAAACGATCCATTCCTCTTCGTCTTTGGAGCATCCAAGTTGAGGCTACGACACACTGAGAGGCTCCCACAAGGTATGCGGGTTCGAACGTTTGACCTCAAGGAAAGGAGCATGTGCCAATTATGGCTGGACTATGGTCACGTTGGCGATTTTAATTTCCATCCTGGTTCTAAAATTGGTGTTAGAATTGTTGAACCGAAATTCATAAATCTAAGATTAAAGTAGATATTATCAAATATTCTTCTCATCATAATTTTCATCTTTGTAGTGCAATGTAATGAATACATGTGATTCTTATTTTGTCACAGATTTTAGGACACTTTTGTCAATTTCCCTTCAAACTCACCAAGGTCGAAGAATAGATTACCCTCCAATTCCAATTCCAATTCCAAGTCTAAACCAAACCAATAACAATCAATTAGTTGCAACAGAAAAAACATTTATATAGCAACACCAGATCCAGATGTCACAAAAACAGGAAAACAAGTACAATTTTACACAACGTTGTAAAAAATAACAACTTACCATTGGCTCCCTTGTGATCTGAGCCTGAGGTGTGACTTTGTATAGAAAAGAAAGAGAAATAGATGGTGGTTAGCCATGGAAGCCATGTCTGTCTTCCCCTGGTTTTAAGAACCTTTGACCTTCCTATGAAAAACCACAGCCATCCATCTCACAAATTACCAAATTCCCCCTTCCTCTCTCTCTAAATTCTCTCTCTCTGTCAAACCAACAACAAAAGAAGAAGAGCAAAAGAAAGAACCCCACAAACCAAATTCAACTCCTTCACATTTTTCTGTTGAATCTGATTCAGTTTCTCCCCTCCCCCCTTCTCTCTTTTCTATGAACTTTGTTTTTACAGGTCTGTCAAGATTGCTGGTTTGTTCTCTCTCGTTTATTCTATCAAAAGATTCATCAAAAAGCTGAAGATGGTGCGGGAAATGGAAGAAGAAGAGAATCACAGGTCCAAATTGTTCTATTTCAAAAGATATGCAGGACAATAATAGTGCCTTCTGTTTTCTTCAGATAATAATGATTTTGTTTTTCAACAGAAGCCAGAGCTCCGTCCCTTTGAACGACACCGTTTTGGAGAAGCCCCCCACTAATCGCCAAGACAAAGCCCCTAAAGCTAAGGTATGCAGAGATGATGCTGCTGCTCCAGTTAAGCCACCCAAAGATCAGCCACCAACAGGTTCCAACATATTTCTTGCTTTCAATTCAAATGGGTTTCTTTTTTGTCTGTTTTCTGTTTTTGAAAAGTTTGATGATGTTGGGAGTGAATGCTCTGATGCAATATTCTGAAATTAGAATGCTGGAATTGACAGAATGTTTTTGAATTAATAAATTTAAGTTTGAGACTTTTCAAATGAGTTGTTAACATCATTGTTGATATTTATATTCAAATGGTTGACATTCTGATGTTTGTGTGATATTTTCCATGACATCTTGGAAACATTATGAGATTTCCCCACGTATCGATGTCAAATTCTATTGATGAACATTTTACTTCGAACCAGTTTCGGCCACTCGATTGCATAGGAAGAATTAGCCTGTGTTCATTGCATCGATGTCGAATCGTACCGCTGAAAATTTTACTTGAAATGGGTTTGGGCCATTGGATTGCATCAGGAGAAAGAATTAGCCTGATCTGGTTGCAGTGCTATTGTTTTATGTGAATTAAGAGGGCCTCCTCTGGATTTTCTTGAGCTTGTTTTGAAATTTTTATGTTTTGTTTGGATACAATCAGAAATAGAACAGATGAAGGAGAGGTTTGCAAAATTGCTTTTGGGTGAAGACATGTCTGGTGGAGGAAAGGGTGTTTCATCGGCTTTAGCATTGTCAAATGCAATCACAAATCTTGCAGGTACGTTGTTAGCGTATCGATCTTTTGTTATCTCGGCGTTTGTTGAATTGTGCTTTCATTTAGATGTGGGAAAAGAAATAAAGTTTGTTACTAGAAACAGATTTCAATGCAAAAGCTAATGAAGTTTTCTAGTTGAGAGAAGGGAGAATGTTAAGTGGTGATCTTTTTCACCTTTCTCCTGTCATTTTTGCAGCTTCTGTTTTCGGGGAACAATGGCGTCTCGAGCCGATGTCAGTGGAGCGAAAAGCAAGGTGGAGAAAAGAGATTGACTTGCTTTTATCAGTCACAGATTACATTGTTGAATTTGTTGCGTCTCAACAGAAATCCAAGGATGGAACAAACATGGAGGCATAATCTCTCTTCCCCTCTTTCTTCAACGTAGACACAAACACAAAGTGCAGCAAAATGCAAAAACAGATCATAACTTAATACACTTCACATTCTTTGATTTAACAGATCATGGTTACCCGTCAACGCAATGACCTTCACATGAACATCCCTGCACTGCGAAAGCTTGACGCGATGCTTATTGTAGGAAAAGATTACTTATCTTGGTCTACTCTTCCGAGTTTAATGATTTTCATTGTAAATGATATATTAATACTTCTCTCTAACGATTTCACATGATGCATAGGATTGTTTGGATAATTTTAAGGACCAATCTGAGTTCTACTACGTATCGAGAGATTCGAGTGATGCGAATAAAGACAATGCTTCAAAGAGAAGTGACAAATGGTGGCTACCTACTCCTAAAGTTCCTACGAATGGTTTATCTGAAAACTCAAGGAAGTTTATGCAGTATCAAAAGGATTGTGTAAACCAAGTCCTGAAAGCAGCCATGGCCATAAATGCTCAAGTTCTATCAGAAATGGAGATCCCAGAAAACTACATTGAGTCATTGCCTAAGGTGAACAAAATTTACCGAACAAGTGCTCGACATCTCGAATGCTCCATCTTTCATTGATTTCATGCCTGAATTTTCCTTTTGTAGAATGGGAGGGAAAGCCTTGGAGACTCTATCTACAGAAACATAACGGTCGAATTCTTCGACCCGGATCAGTTTCTATCTACCATGGACTTATCTTCAGAGCACAAGATCCTAGACCTCAAGGACAGAATTGAGGCTTCCATTGTGATATGGAAGCGTAAGATGAACCAGAAAGATGGAAAATCTGCTTGGGGCTCAGCTGTGAGCTTGGAGAAGAGAGAGCTTTTCGAGGAGAGAGCAGAAACAATTTTACTCATCCTCAAACATCGTTTCCCAGGCACTCCTCAGTCAGCATTAGACATTAGCAAAATCCAATACAATCGGGTACAACACAACATGTTTTTTGGAGAATACTTTGTTTTCAAATCTTGAAAGGCTGGAACTTCTTTCTGCATCACTCTACAATGTTATGTTACTTTATAAATTTGGATTAATTCAAGACTGCTTTCTTGTATTTACAGGATGTTGGACAGGCTGTTCTAGAGAGTTACTCTAGAATCCTGGAAAGCTTAGCCTTCACAGTGATGTCAAGGATTGAAGATGTACTCTACGCAGATTATATCGCTCAAAATCCATCACAAGCATCGAGTAAGAAGCGGGAAACCCCATCGGTATCACCTGCAGAAGAGACACAAAATGCAGCAGAGACGCCTACTTCTATGACACTATTGGATTTCATGAATTGGGGTCCGGATCTTGGTGATAATGAGGTAAAGAAGGAGTCGCCAACAGGGAATTCTGACACTGCGCCATCGCCAGAGGTTGAAATGAAGCATGTGCACAAGCTTCAAAACATAGTGACTAATAATAAGTTGGTCTCGTACCTTGAGAACATAGGCGGTTTGAAAAGCCCCACGTCGCGACATTGACTCAAGTTCATTCTGGAAGGAACTTGAGAAGAAATAACGAGTAAAGATCAAGCATGAGATTTTAGCGAAAGGGGGAGAGAGCATAACAGGAGTACACAGTTAAAAGCTCAACCTCCTTTTCACTGAGTTTTTCTTTAGAGCTGTAATTACCAAATCCATTCAATTCATTCCTGCTGTAAATATGAAGGATGAGCACAACTAATTTGGTATTTGGAGTATTTTTAATATGGTTCTTCTGCAGATGTTAACTATTAGTCAATTTTGTTAGAAAGAGCAAGTCTTTTTAACCATATTTCATTATCAGTCTTTCAAAGGAACTGGCAAGGCCACATTGTAAAAGTACATTCATCACATAATAACAATTGCTTAAATAACACTCCCAAATGGTATCTTCAAAACATACTGGTAGGAGAGTTGAGAGAGAAAATTTACATACAACAAAAAACCCAGAGAAAAGGATTTGAAAGCGAATTAGATCTTGCCACGCGGCCCGAGTTTTGGTGGGAGTTGAGGTCCTTTCTTGATTGGAAGAACATCATCTGGGGCTGTGGCACTGAAATAGGCAAGAGTGGCACCACCACCTAGTAGCAAGAACTTGAGCAATAATCCTCTCTTGGTGAATGGAGCAGCAAAAGTTTCAAAGAATTTGCTCTGGAAAAAATGTACCAAAATAAGTCAATAGCAAGTTCAATCCAACCAAAGCAGCAACAGAGATATAACTGAACTCTAAATCTTCACAATCTGTTAGAATCATTATATTTGGATTGAAGTAATAGTGGCACGAGAAGATAAGTACTTTTAAAGTGATTTGTCATTAAACATTAGTACTTATACTAAAATTGCTGATTTAAAAAGCACTCCCAAACACATCAAGATCACTCAAAAGTAAAAGAAAGAAACAACAATTCCTCTGTTATGTTCTGTTCTGCTCTGGCCCTTTTTCGTTATTCATTAAAGCAAAGACAAACCTGAAGAGAATTGTATGGTGAAGGAGCATCAGATCCATACAAATCCCACTGTCCAGTGGTGTTGCCCAAATCCTCCAAATCAAAGTAAACACTTTTGTCTCCGTACTTGGCCACCACAGCACCAGCCCTAAGAAAAACAAGAAGAAACCCAGAAAAATTCAGATAATTTCGGAGCAAAATAAGACAACAAAAAAAAAAGGCAAAAAAAGAGAAGATTTTGGCACCTGAAGTTTTTGGGTCTGAAGCTCTGGCGAGAGGGCTTGAGGGGGAGCCTGGTTCCGGCAATGGAGCTTCCGGCGAGACCCTTTACGGCGACCGGCTGGACGGCAGCTAAGGTTGCTAAGGAAGCCATGGCGTTGGTCTGAAAAAAGGAACAAACTTTGGAGTTTGGAACTGGGAGGCAGAGGAGAGCAGTGGAGAGGCTTCAAATGGGTTTTGGATCCTGTGATTGGATGTTCTTTTGACACGTGGCGGAACGGGATCTTGGAAGACAATATGGAGTATCACTTAGGAGGTGCCACGTGGGATGGAGCTGGATAAGCCTATCCTTTGTTGATATGAATTATGATATGGGGAATGGAGTCATATATCTATAAACTTTAATCTAAACTTG